CCATACCGATGCAGCATGCCCATCTTTCGGCAAGATCTAGATAGGGATCCAAGGCGGAGGGAGTCCGCTACTGGTCATGGTCAGGCTGATAACTATGTTGGGAACGAGAATGCCTTGCCTTTGTCTACCATGTCTTCGCTGCCCGACCCGACAGACAGCCATCTTCGTCTCCGGTCACAATCACTATCCCGAAAACTGTCTGAAGAAAGCATAAGAACTGAGCTCTGTGAGGGTCCGGTTCTCGACAGCCCTCCACCTTCTACTCCTCCTCGTCCCGCACCACCGCTGCTACCGCCTCTCGCTCAAGCTTCCGACTGCAATAATAGCTCAAGTTCGGTAGCTTACACATATACTGATCGCGCCGAGCTGATCGAAAGACTAAAGAAAGGGGAAAGCCCACCATGGCTCCCCCATCTATACGTTCGTACACTCCCCTCCCCTGCTCTCTCATGCCTTCTCCTTGCCTCTGTGATATTATAACGCCTCTATTTGTTCCGCCCCAGACATAAATTCCACATTATACTAACCAAGCCATGTTTTACTAGCGCTTTGACTCTGCATGGACCCAAGAACAATCGTCTATTCCTCCTGCTCATAGTCATAGCCCAACAACCGACGCTACCAATACCACCACCACAACCACCACCACTACTTCGCCATCGCTACTACCGCCTCCGACGATAACTCCCGAGAAAGAGAGGGCTTTATCGGATGAGGAGGAAAGGCGCCAGGATGGGATGAGGATCGATAGACCTCGATCAGCCCTACATAGTGGCGATTTTACGCACGATGAGATATCACCAGACCCGAGCTCTTCTCAACGCAGAACCCATACTCGAACGAGCCAGGAGTCGGCTGACGGCGGTCATTCCTGGATCGCCACTTCACCCCCAAGGGACTACACGCCTTTGAACTTCGAAAAGAGACAGCCTCCACCGGTACGGTCTGGTGAAGTGCGATCCGCTCTCTCCTCTCTGTCTTCCTCCATTTCAACGAGTTTCGCCTATAAGCCACCGACGAGCCCTCTGTTTCAGTCAGAGAGCAACGACGACGTTGATCTGGTTTCTCCCATCGACGGTATTGATCTTGCTTCCAGCCTACCTAGACAACAACGCCGACATACTGTGGTGTCGTCTCTTCCGAGCTCCTATTCCCCGAGCCCACTACAGAGACACGCCTCATTGTCTCGTCAGGAGAGGGCTTTCCCTTACCAGGCGCATCAACCCAGACGGTCTCTGACTACCACATCTAGCCTCTCAATCGCCACATCTTCCCCCCAGACACCGGCATTTCTTCAGTCCCGACGTCCCTCTATGAGTTCCGACGTTTCTCCGCTTCAGCATGCATCTATGGTTGGGTCCTATGAAGAAAGTATACTACGCGGCCGAATGTCGACAACGCCGTCGAAACCCCTCGATTTCACAGCTCAGATTGGCGTCCTCGGGTTAGGCAAGTGTAAATCAAACCTTCGGTGTCCGCCTCACGTGACACTACCTTTCCCCGCCGTCTTCTACAGCTATGGTGCCTCATCGCATGGTCGGTCCAAGGAAAACGACGGTCCGAGTCCATACGTGGGCCAGATTGATTTAGAGAATGGCTTACCTAATCAGGGGGATGAGGCTAGATCAAAGAGGAAACACCAAAGTAGGGCTGTGGAAAGAGTGGTGGAAGCAGAGGCAATGGATGCGAATTACACGGAAACGAATCCCTCCAGTCGGGACGCTCGTAAAGCACAGAGAGCTAAACGCAGGTCTGGGTCGCCACGGGCACCCCCTGGCGGAAGTTACCGGATCCCTGAGAAAGGGCGAATCCAAGTAATTATCAAGAATCCGAATAAGACAGCAGTCAAACTATTCTTGGTCCCCTATGACCTGGCCGGCATGGAACCCGGCACTAAGACTTTTGTGCGGCAACGTTGCTATTCTAATGGGCCCATTATTGACAATATGCCTAATTTGAAAGGTAATCCCTCGGCAGATCGCCCCATTCTGAGATATCTTATCCATCTACATATATGCTGCCCCTCACGGGGTCGCTTCTATTTGTATAAGAGCATTCGAGTGGTTTTTGCCAACCGTGTACCGGACGGAAAAGAGAAACTGCAAAATGAAATTACGCTCCCTGAGCCCAGGTTCACTCCTTACAAGACCATACGAGTTATGCACCCGCCATTATCTAGTGGCACAGGACCTGGTGCCAGTTTGGCTGCCGACGCGGCTTTTAGGCGGCGAAGTTCTGGTTTTTATTTTGGTGAAGCAAGTCGTGTGTTTGATGCAGCCGAGGGTTTCACGTCGCCGGGTCCAAGTCAACCGCTCATGTATGGCTTCGCCGGGGACCACACACCAGTAGAGCCCGTCCCGTTCAGAGTCCCGGCGAACAAGGTGGCAAGGCCGATGGAAGACGAGAACAGCATCTTAGAAGCCTACAATCTGCAATCCTCGGTGTTGTCTCAGACAAGCCGCCCGATCACCGAGAGTTCTAACGATGGGTCGAACTGGGGTGGTTACGACGGCCAGATTGATAAGTATAATAAGTTAAACAAGGGGGACGTCGGTTATGGGGGCAACGCCTTTGCCGGCCTCATAAACGGTAATCCAGTCGTTGCTGAGAGTCTACTCTCCCAGCGCCTACACCAAACACCTTATTTTACCATGGCTGAAAATACACAAGAGGTCGCCGGGGCGTACGCAGTCTCCGGTAAAACCGCTATAGTTTAAGTACAAGTCTACAGACTAACTGCGGTATTATGAACATACAGCTGTACATACAAACTTACGCCACACAGTCTCATACTACGACCATGCAGCCACCACACTACTGCCAATAACTAGTACAGATGAATAAAAAAAAGGAAATCGCTATCGACTAGTATTATTTGCATTGATTCAGAATTACCTCCATATTTGCATGTGTGCATAGGTAATCGATCGGTCCGGTGGCTTGTGGCGGCGGTGTGGCGGTCCAAATGAGTTCTGCCGTCATTCACCGCTCTATCCTTGGACAGGTACCTAGTCTCCCGGTTAGACCTGGTCCTATTGACTCCACTAGTGCACCATACCTATTAATAGAAACGGATCCGTTCAATGCCCTGGTCCGAACGACGCCACCTCTACTTTGGTCAACACGCTTCCCGGAACACCTTAGACCTTATACGACTCGCAGCATTATATCGACCCTAGTCCTGCATACACTGAGGCAAACCAACAAAGTCACAATGCGCTACCACGAAGGATGCCGCTACCTCAAGACGAAGCACTGGCAACCCCTCTGGCAAAGCAATATCGCCAACTTTGACGCCTTAAAAGATAGCGTCAAGTCCCCTTGTATTTTCGTAGCAATAGATTTCGAGGGTCTTTCTACCAAGGAAGGCGAACCGCTTGGCATTACAGATATCGGCATTGCGGTTTTCCCTTCCTCACCTACAACATCGATACCAGACACCCCCAGCCTCCGAAACCAAAGATTACAGACTTTTTTTGAACAGAACCCTATCGAGTGTCACTGGATTCGACTTACGGGAAAGCGGTCCTTCTCAGACACGAAAGACACGTGTTATTTTGGCCGGCTTCAAGAGATCGAGCCCGCACAGACTGAGATAGAGCTAGTTGCTCTTTTCGAATCAATCCAGCAGCGATTCAACTCGCCTTTGATTCTAGTAGGATTCGATCTAGTCTTCGAGCTTACTACAATTGCGGCGCACTTCAGTCAGGTTTTCCAGTTCTTCTCCTCATGGGTTGATTTGCAAGATATCGTAATGGAAATCTCTCATCCGAAAGTTACACATGGCTTACGTGGCGCGCTTCGTGCATTCGGTTTTGCGCCAGGCGATTTGGCGATATGCGGCAGGAAATCCGGTCATAATCCTGCCGATGATACTATCCGCCAGCTAGCCGTTCTTGTTAACTTACTTCGATTACGAAAAGACATTACTTTACAGATTGAACCCCGACCGAAAAGGGAACAAACTGGAATGCGAAGGTTTTGGCATGGCCGCGCTCCTAACCCCAAAGAGCTGTATCCTTTTACAGCTAGGGTATATATACGAGGGAAACCTCTGAGTGCCATTCTCCCACATTGGAGTATGTCTTCCGAAGCTTTTATTCTTTGCTTTTATACTAGATGCAGTAATAATTAACACCAGAATGTGCATAGATCATCTATTCGATATTTTCTCTACCTATAACCCTATAGCAGTAGGGATATCTTCATGTGGCGACTATGGCTGGGTATCTGTTCCAAGTCTAGAAGAACTTAACTGCTTCATAAGAGATGTTCATGGAAAACAGCTTAAAGAAGAAACCTGGGACGTTGTTTCGAAGTATGATCCTTTAGTAATACCTATGACCTTAGACCAGCTTCATGAAGCTAGACAGGCGGCTCAGAAAGCAGAACGAGAGGGAAAGCAGCTTGAAAGGCGCATGAAGAGAGAATCCACTTCAGATACATAGAATTACACTACTTACTAAAATTAAAACTGCTGTACGAGATAAGCACTTAATACTATAGACGACTATGCTACTAAACATATACCTCACGTCCTGATATGGGACTGTGATGGGCAACGACGGAAGTGCTAGTTAACTGCCATCCTACTGGGACGCGTTGCACAACAGGTGTTTGCTGGGTACCTATTGCAATACGGGCACGGGATCTAACTGAGCCAGATATGGACTGATATAAAACTATGTACCTACAATGGCTTGCTAATTCTAACTATGCCTTGTCTAATAAATTAGATACATTGGAGAACAAAGTCCATTACCTCGGCTTTTACGTAGTAACCTAGGTAGGCAACTATAAAACTTAGTGGCCTCAAGTCCTCCCTCTGCTATGTACCTGTCTCGTGCCTACCTCACGCGCCTACCTCACGCGCCTCCCCCACGCTCCGGCCTCATGCTCCTTCCCCCTCCCCCTTATCTATCTCGTCATCCCTTCCTTTCAGCAGCCACATCACCTTTATCATCCCAACTAAAGCCTACCCCTCCAACAATCAGAGGAAAGGCAGGATGGCCGAGCGGTTAAGGCGCCTGATTAGGTCCAGGTTCTTTCGGGAGCGAGGGTTCGAATCCCTCTTCTGTCGACCCAGGAGGGGAAGCAGAACTGGAATTATGAGGGTCTCTTCGGAGGCGTGGGTTCGAATCCCACTCCTGCCGAGCTTTTTTTCTCTCTTTTTTTCTTTTTTAAAATTAAAATAAATAATATGTTGATTCATAAGTTATAATTAATAACTTAGTTAAGTTTTTTTAAAGCAAAAGTTATTATATATTATTAGTTAATATATATAATTTATTATTATATTATAAATATATTACACTTAATTAAAGCTTTAAATAAACATGTTTTTTTAACATGTTAATTTTATTAAAATATTATATTTTTATTATTATTAATATATATAATATATAGGTTATAAAAAAGTTTTAATTTAATTTACGTTTATTATTAACATGTTTATTAATAAAACAATAAAGCTTTTATTAATATTATTAATATAAGCTTTTTAGCTTTAATAAATCAAGAAAATATATAACTAGGTTTAAGCAAAAAAACATATATATTACTCCATAATAATAGTATTAAAAAAATGAACAAAAGAGGCTATATGCTCCTGGTAGCCTATAGGTCTTTTTTATTAGCTAGATTGCGAGTTTAAATGACTTGGGGGTTGGAAAACTAAAGGGATCTTTTACTATATATACGTCTAGAAAGGATTATTTTAAAACAACCTTGGAAGCATCGTTGTCACCCGTTTCGTTGCCGCTCTCCGCGCATCGACGTCTATTCGCCTCGAAGTATCTCTATATTACAGGTTAAAAGAATTATGTAAGAGTCTTGGTGACATATTACCTCGGTTGTAATTTGTCAGGTCCGCACTTCTATTTCCTCATGTAATGAGTATATCTCGGGGCTATTTATTTCCTGTTTTAGCGATTTCTAGAGCCGAAATTTTCCTTTTTGGTGAAAGTCGCATCTAGAAGCTTCCAAAATCCTCGCAAATAATGCTCAAGATAGAAATAACTAACTCCGAGTTCTCTAGTCGAGTCCGTCATCTACGTGGTCCGGGGCCGCGCGCGCATGCGCTGGGGCGAGCGCCTCGAGTTCACCGCCGAGGCCGGCCCGGGCGACTTCATCTACGTCCCGCCCTACGGTGAGTATATCTCGGGGCTATTTACTTCCTGTCTTAGCAATTTCTAGAGCCGAAATTTTCCTTTTTGGTTAAAGTCGCGTCTAGAAGCTTCCAAAATCCTCGCAAATAATGCTCAAGATAGAGATAACTAACTCCGAGTTCTCTAGTGCCGCACCAGGAGATCAACGCCAGCGCCGACGAGACGCTCGAGTGCGTGCTCATGCGCAGCGATACAGATGCGGTCGCTATCAACCTGCCTGATATAGAGCCCGTTGAGAAGCCTACTACGGTGAAATGGATCGATCCGACGCACGTCGAGTGAGCGGCAGATCTATCTTTGATTCACTTTTCTCTCGCTGGTCATCACTAGAAGGATAGTGGAAAGGGGAGTGCACACACACCCACATATATATATATTTATGCGAATCAAATATATACGTGCGCGTGTAGGCGTCTTCAGCTAGATGAGGTACAGGAAACGAGGCTACTATTACAAACATGTAGCTGTTGTTAGCTTGCCTAAACGTCCCAGTTTCCCGTTTTCAACAGAAGCGGCAAAGCCTAGTGCAAATGCATAAGGACGTAAAATGCTATATTATTAACAATGCATAGAGCACACAGCCTTGACTAGAGAGGAGAGTGAACGTCTTTTTAATGTTGCTACTATCAATTTATCAGGTTATAGCTCAGCTTGTTGCAATCGTTAGAGTGAATGCTATTTATCATACACTCTGTAAGGAGCCTTTTCGGGAATGCTAGAGGTAATATTAGAGCTTTTGATATGCTCTTTCTAGGCTCTTGCGGGGTTTCCGAATTTTTCTATCGCCGAACTTCCCTACATCCGCCTTTGAGAAGCGTCGTCGCTTGCGTATATAAAGGCTAGGGAGAGGCCGCCGGCGAGGAAACTGTTAACTTAGTGTATGGGGAGACTATCAAGACGTTAGTTGGGATCAGGTTACTTGGCTGACAGGTAGGTAACTAGGTGGACCGTTGAGCAACGACCTCCCTCGATCAAACCAAACTGCAGTAGGTACTTTTTCAAAATTCTCTTGGAGCTCTTTAAGAAAGAGTTTAGACTCTAGGGGGCCGCCCTGAGCTTGCCGCTGCAGCGATGACTAAATGTGAGAGAAGCATTAATGTGATAGAATCTTGACTAGATATAAAAATAGTGTTGAGATTGAAAGGGTGAGGTAAACCGATATCCGGAAAACCTCGGTATTACATGCCGGCTGGACCTCACAAGGTTGGGCTACAGTTCGTGATAATCATTTGAATAGTACTCGCGTAGTGAAACGTGATAGAGCTATGGTCCCCGTTACCACCATCACACCCATATTACGGCCTCTCTGTGTTGGATTCCGTCTACCCAAGCCTGCAAAATACATACATAAACCTCCCCCGTTCTTGCGACGCCTGAAAAGTTACGTGAAACTCGCATTTCAGTATCTTCCATGGTAATGTGAATCTAGCGATATTAAGTCTGTACCTAGCTGCGACCAACATATACCACTTTATGAATAGATACTGGCAGGGCAGGATTGCACCCTTTTGTGAGTCATCAGATCCTTACTTTCCTTCTCGGATCTGAGCCACCCAAATTGTAGGCTCTTTCTCTTCGCCAGGGGACCGAAAATTTCGCCTGCTGCCTTCTTGTGCTGCCTTGCCCGCACCTTGGTGGCATCTAGGGTCTTTACAACGCTCCAACCCATATCCTTTCCCTGTCCAGTATTTTTCTTGGGTTTCTTCGTAGTAGGCTTCCTCCCTTTTGTATGGCGCCACTTGCCTCGCCGAATCCTAGAACCAGCGCCCTTGGCCGCAGATACACGCTTCCCTACGAGTCGAAATCTGGCCTTAGTTTTGAAACACGCTCTTTTGACCCAATTACGTAGTCTCAGCTTCTGTATACGTTGTGTTAACGTTATGCTCGAGGAATGATTCGAGGTCGGGAATGCGAAGAGCTGCAGCCAAGATGCAACGCGAGATAATCTTTTTTCTCCTACATCACGAATCGTTGACCAACTACCCTCTTCATCCTCCACGCTAGACTGCCTCACAGCTGTAAGCATCGTCCTATCTGTGTCTCCACTGAGGCGTAGACGATCCGTTGATGCGTTATGTCTACCTTCAATCTGATAGCTATGGCCGTCATCGAAGGGGTCTCGAACATTTGGTGATTGGGAATTCCTGAATTTGGCTTCACGCTGGGAAGAAATGGCATCCTCATTCCCTAAAATATGAGGGGAACTGGGGAATGGGTTTGGGCTGCTAGTCGCGCTGCTGGACGGAGTATCATCAGCAACATTAGCGGCCTGGATATTTCCCCTGACAGCACCATTGGAACACTCCTCGCTTATAGGCATATTGGCTAAGTCACACATGCTATCGGAAGGGTACCGACCATAGCATCGATACTCAGCGAGGTACTTCATTGTGCGAGAGGCGACTGGTTCAGGAGAACGACAAGAAGTAGCAGGAGAACGTATACCCTCAGATGGATAGGAAGATGAAGCGGAGCGAATCCTCTCACTGCCGTCAGTCGCCATTGTAGACTGTAGAGCGATGGCATCGTCCCGACTCCCCTTCCCGGAGGTATTAGTACTCGAGAGGCTGAAAGAACGAATCTTCGGCGTTTCATCGATCTGGTTTCCCGGCGTAAGGTATGCTGAAGGCTTCATCCCACCCGCCGTAGTATTCTCAGATATGAATTCTAATTGGCTACCCTTTGGTAATGGGTTCCCTTGGGGTGATGTAGTAGCTTGATATTCATGAGTATTCGAGTGCTGGAAGTTTGTGTCCGGCGGTGCATTTTCACGGCGAGGTACCAATAGCGGCAAGTCATCAGCAGCTTCGCTACTTCGCTCTATGTTCCGTACGCGCTGACGATTCTCGGGCTTCTCGAATAGCGTTAAAAAGGCGGATGATAAATCTGCGCGTCGAGGTAGAACTGGTTGACCGATGTGGATGGTAGGGAATTTCGACTGGCCGGAAGATGTTTCATCTTCAGACTTGTTGCGGATGAAACCTCGACTTGGAAAGGACCATCGATGCAGCAGTGACATGATCGCAGTGATATTGAGAAATCGGTAGCAATATAGACAATGTGTACACAAGCAGTCTTATCGAGTATAGCGAGCACACACATACAAGGCGGAGATTTTTAAGAGCGAAGTAAATAGACTGACCACTTTGCTTAAATGGCCGAGATGAAGGGACTAAACTGAGCGATACAGCAGTGCGACCTCTCTTGATTAAATCAATCTACCATGGTAGAAGCTGCCATCTGCGTATTCACTTCTGACATCATGCCGTCCTTCCTACTTGCGGTTCTGGCAAGAAGCTTACACTATAGCTAGCTGTCGGGGATGACTCCCTGATGCTGTCTTCTAGTTAGATAAATCATAAATAGTTCAAATGAGGGCGTATTGTTACTATCATGCTCATGATAAATGATCATCCGGGTCTCCTATAATCAGGACTCCTCGACGATACTCATCATTGCCGAATTTTATCTAATCGATGCCTCGTAAGTCTCCGGCTCCTTCTCGTTGGTTTGCTGGAATAGCGATATCACCAGGGGAAAGCGGGAGTTATAGGGAGCTCGATCGATCCTGGGCATCAGGGTATGTACTTTGGGACTTACGACTGCCTAGCGCATGTTTATGCTATTACGGTACAAGTTTGATTCGAAAGAGTTACTATTTCCTTGGAGTTATATCCATATCTATTGCATCATCCCGTCTATCTGGTCTGTCTAAGCACCAGCGCCACCTTTTCTTGCCCTCGTGTCTGCGCCCAAGTAGTCGATTGGATTGCGGCATAGTGGACACGTGTTCTGATTGCTGCTCTGGAACCACTTGTAGAGACAGGTGCGATGGAAGAGATTCCTGCAAGTTTGACATCGCTTGTCCGGCATTTTTTTGTCGGTACTGATAATGCTGTAGCAAATGGCGCAT